TAATCAACTCATAGTTTTAGTCCTTTTTTAAGTGAAAATGTCAAAAGCTGCTCGACTGGTTCAACTTCTTAAATGAAGGAATTTTCTTATATTTGATTATTTTCAGTATTTTTATAAACCAACCAATCAATTAATTCAGACATTAACGTGTTTATATAGAGAAACAGTAGCTTAGTAACAGTTTTATACCGATGTTCCCTTCAAGTGGAGCATGAAGTGAGTATTAATTACTAATCATAGTTTAATTATACTTTATTTATGTATCTTCAAAACCTTTAGTAACATTTTCCATGATGGTATTAGTACTTTTAATTAACAGAAAGATTTAAATACCACCTCCATCACAGCTAGATAGTTTAAAAACTTCAAATCTTGTCCTCATGAATGTATTATTTAACAGGTTTCAGTAGTTTATTGGCTTTAATTAGAAATAATAAGATATTGTATGTGTCTTGTTGGTCTGTTTTTCTCCAGATTGGTTTTTCCTCTTGGTGTTAGAACCATAATAACTTCGAGATCTTCCGTCAAACCAACTTTAAAAGAGACGTTTATTACTTTAAACTGTAAATGATGTCAGCGGGAGACATTCGATACCACGTCTCTGACGATCTGCTGACGTGGTGCAATAGAATTCTCATTTTTCACTTTTTAATATCTACTGAGCCGTTAACAAGACATCGGTCAACACGTGCTTTGCCGTGTCGCCATCCGGAGGAAGTTTCCCACAGTGCAGCAGGGTTTCCACACTTCCTCACACTTTACGACGTCTTCTGTGATGATGCGTTCGATTCTGTGTCACCGGTTACTTCTTGCGGAGGACGTCGTGTTTTCCTGCGTCTGTCAGCAGGAAAATGCAAAAACTAGAATTTATTGAAAGTTGGTCGACGGATGGAACTCGAGAAACGATTCAGACAAAGGGGCTGATCCAGGAATTTAATTCTCACTTACTTGAACATCGCAGGGTTTCTTTTTTTATCGACACGTTCACCACTTTCCCAGATAATAACTCACGTGTCTGGAGGAATAAATCCAGATCTAGTGGATTTAAATATGGATTCATAAGGTGGCTGTTAAATTCTGCCTGTTTCCTTTGGTGGAGACGAGCTCCTCCACTGCTACAACCTGTCGTCATGTACGTTTTATTCCTGAAGCGGTGTTGTTGTCCTGCTGTTTCTCTGGAGCAGTTGGTAGAGAACAAACTCTCCTCTCGTCTTTTCTTTTACATCATGAAGGTCAATTTTACAGCTCGTGCTCCCGGAGCTTCACAGAGGAAGCTGCTGTAATAACAAGCTAACGAAACACACAAAACCACGCAGTCACACAAACAGCTCAGTGTGTCCAGCCTCTCTCATCGTTTTATTTTTCTACCTCTAATCTAATGTGCTGGAATCGGTCCAAATGGAAACAGAAGCAGGAAATGTGATTTTAATGCTGATTGACCCGGCGGTGTTGAATTTCACTCGTCCTGTTTAATCTATTTTCATTTGTTTTTGCACGGAAATGAAAACACTTCTCTTCATGACACGGTTACTTTCGATGGTCTGATTATATCTTTTTAGATCAAGTGTATTGGCTCATATTGTTTTTTGCTGTTGACTACACGCAGTGTAGAAGATGAGTGTTTATTAAAAGATACAGACGGACAAACTTCTAATGATGACAAGAAGACAGAAAAGTATAAAGGTAAAGAAATCGTGTTTTAAGTTTTGAAAACCAAACGCCGTCCCTTCCTGTTGCCGCTCAGACGTTCAGCAGCAGCAGTATGTGGGACAGCAGCAGCAGCAGCTCTGTCCCACATAGCCGATGACCCAAAACACGGAGACCAGCACCAATTACAGCCTCCAGATGTGAAGCACAACTGGCACACAGGTAACTGGAGTCTTGCTCGGTCTAAGCACGACTGCCGGAATCAAAGTGGATGAGTTGATTTTTAACGAACTTCTTTTTTTTTAAAAGTTTTTTTGGTTTTCCAGCTGCAAAGTTCTTTACCTCAGCTGCCTCACAAATGCGCCCTTGCACCACAGCCTCGGGCAAGAAGAAATACAAATTTGCTGCAGCTTTGTTTACACCAGGGGTCTCATTTATTCAGGTTTCTGATGCACACGTCTGTGCTCAGAGTTGTGCTTTGTAAAGTTCTGATGTCAGAATCAACCTCTCTGTGATTTTCACTGTCCACTGACATATCAGAAGCCAAACTTTGGATAAAATCCTTTTTATTATTCCTCAAGGTATGAATGTAGACATCATATATATGGTATACACTGTGCAGCATATACAATATACCATAAGATCTTCACAAGTCACGCCCTGTGTGTGAGGAGAGGAGAAGCCTGATCCTCTGAAACACCGATGTGATGCTGAGAGTCGATGAGTGTGGACGAGCAAAACGTTTCTCGACAGGTGAAAAGAGTCCGAATCCACAGAGTCGTCTATATTTGCAGGAAGTGACACGTGTCATATCTGGGATTCTGCCGCCGCAGACGGACAGGGAGCGGCCCGTCACCGCAGAGGACGCGACGCCCGCTGACTGATAAATCACAGCACGAATCAAAATATGGACGACAGAGCTCGGCCGCGTCAGGACAGGTGACAGAGGCTTTGTGACGACCGGAGGGAATCAAACACCCGTCACCAGGGAAACACACAGACACAGAGACGCTCTCGGTTTGAAGGGTCGCTTGATTCAAATCACAGAAGTGAAAGATTTTCTCACTTGTACCTTGTGACGCTGCAGAGAGAGTTTATTTCAGCTGCCGAGGCTCAGAGACATCGGCCTTTTAAACTTCTCAACCTCAAAACAAGAACTTTAGTTAAACAGCAAAGCTTCAGTTCCACTGTTAAAACTCTTCTTCTGTCTTTGCAGAGAAGTTTGAATCCTACTTATGTTGTGGCCACAGCGCAAATACTACACTCACAAGATACCAGCTCACCACATGAACCGTTAGTTAGGGAGCAGCACGAGTGAATGAGGATGAGTTTAATTTATACATAAGCTCAAAACTCAAAGAACAAAGCGAAGATAGAAGGAGTCGTTGTTGGTGATCACACAGACGATTCTGTGGAAGAACAGGACGGACGAACCAGAGAGCAGAATAAAGAACCCAGAGAAAACAGTGCAAATACAAGTGAACTCTCCGTCTTTGTGTTTGAACGAAGGCAGCGATGTCTGAGAACCTCGACTGTCTGCACGTTCAAACACCACTAAGTGAGAAAAACATGGCGCCGAGGCCCGACCCTTTAAACCTTCATTTCAAATTTGAAAAAAAAAAAAAAAAGGGGGGCGTCACGGTTTTTAGTCGGCAGGAAAAATATCCGGCCGCTCTGGTGTTGTCATGGCAACGTCATGAGCTCATAGTGTGTCGATTTGGGTCCAGCGTGAAGTGGGAGGAGTCATTTTCCTCAGCTCCGTCTTCAGGTTCATGTTTTCTCGCCGGTCTACGATCTGCAGAACGGATTTTCACAAAAGTTTGAGCCAAGAGAGAATTCAGTCAACTTCTTCTTTTCACTTCTTGTATTTTTTTTTTTTTTTTTTTTTCTGACCAATCTGTTGCAGGTTAGGTCAGAAAAGTA